CCCCCACATTAATATTAAGAGTCTTGTTTGATTCAACAGTAATTTTTAAAGAAATTTATTTAAATAAAAATATTTTTATAGTCCATTATTATACTTTAAAAACACAATTTGAAATTTAAAAATATATATATATCCTTAATAAATTACAAATGCATGAAGATTTGTTATTGCAACATTTTTATCTTTTTTATTACTTGAGCTGATGTTTTTATGAAGTTCACCCTCAAAAAACTACTACTTCTTTTATTTAAATAATTCTTTTGTATCCCGCTGGGAGACTCACTCATAATTTCTAGGTGCGCGACGCGGGTCGAGTCCGGATTAGTCGAGGCGAAACCTCGATACCGGGCGGGAAACGAAAAAAAAAAAAAATAATAATTCTTTTGTAATTTTTTTTTCAATCATCCTTTTGTTCAATTATTATCTCAATTTCTTAATTTATTTTCAAGTCTATCAATAAAAAGCCAAAAAAAAAAAAAACTTCATATTGGATTCAAACTTTCATCACGTTATTTTATAATTAATTCCTTTTATGTTTATTTAAAAATAAAAATTAATACTATTTTATATATCTATTCATTTTTTTTTATAAATGTATATCTATTCATTTCAATCACTTCATTTATATTATTGCCGCCAAAGGAAAAGAAATCATATCAGCATGTCCGAACATCAGAACAATTATTTATTATTATTAATTTTTTTTAACAAATTGTAATTATTTACATATTAATTGAATGAATAGGAAGAGAGATTCCGTGGGATTCAAATATGCAACTATAAGAAATGAACAGTTTTAATTCAGGATTTAATATCACTGAATCGGAACAGATTGTTCAATTATTTTTTGTTTTAGTAAAAAAAAATATTGAAAGACACATTAATTTTAAATTTTTTTATTTTTTAATTAAATTATATCAACTTATAAATAAAAACCCATTAAATAAGAAAAAACATGATTCAATAATTAAAATGAGTAATGATAAAAACAATGGAAATTTGAGACATAATATAAAAAATGTCACGTTATTAAATTAATTTTATTTTTAATATTATAAGTCTTAAAAAATGAAAATTTTATATTTTAATATTTTAAATAAAATATCTTAAATTTGTATTTTAAATTTTTATCTTATTTATAATTATTCAATTAAAATACAAACGGTACAATACTTATTTGTTAATTATTATTACTGTAGACTTGTTGATG